TAATAATAATAATAATAATAATATTATATTAACATAAATTATCAAAACAAAATACTACTAAAACAAATATACCTGGCTGTTGTACCAATTGTGTACACGACTTCGCAGTTGCTACTACTGTTGCTGTAGCATTAGTAACATCACGAGATGCTTTTGATAATTCATCTAAATTTCTACTACCTCGAGGCGCTTTAACACGACTAGCAACAACTAGTTGGGCAGTTCCTGCTGCTACACTATGGGATGCTACAATTAATCTCGACAGATTACCATCAGCACTAACAACATCATTTGCCGCGTCCCTGATATAAAATTCGTTTTATTTATTCTTCTAGGTATCTTATTTTATTTACCACAGATACTTACAAGAGACCTTTGGCACCAAAGCCAATTGACTTAGCTGCAGAAATGAGTCCTTCTGTCCACTGATGATTACGCTTATAAAACTCTTTTGCTGATCCTTCATTACCTTGATTGGCAACAATTTCGAATTGAAGTTTTTTCGATTTGTGTACCAAAACTCTTATTGCTGCCATAAGTGATGTGCATGAATCTAATATCTGTTCGTTGACTTCGAGTTTTATTCCAGAATGAGCAGCTCTTGTTTCCGTTATCATTTCCTGAATTGTAGTAAAGAAAATTGAGTATAACAACCATTCTTTTCATGACTTCATGATACCACTAACCTGAATGCGATTTGCTGCTTCTTCGATAGCTTTGTCCATGGTTGATAATTCATCTTCTACTAAATCTCCTAATGATTCGGTCGCTTGTGTAGAAAGAGCCATAGATTCAACATCATTCACAGCACTTTTTAAATCTTCACAATATTCTCCGATTTTACTACCAGTTTGCCAAGCAGTTAAAAGTTTAACACTTGTTCTGCTAACGTCTTTGCATCTATCCGCCAAACCTAATTATTCAAAACACAAAACCAGTTTGTTGTGTGTGACAAAAAATAAACCTTTACATAACATTATTTACTTACTTTGAGCATCATTTAGATTAGACTTCGTATTGGATACTGCTTTTCCAAATACAACATACATGGCAATATAGTGAGCTAATACCGCAGCATTGTCTTTTCCTCTATTAATGGCTTCAACAAGTTTATCTTTTATTAAGATCAAACACTCTAAAAGTCAGATGTATACTGGTATTAATAAATAGCCAAGAATAAAAATACCAAACATTACTTACCAGGAGAGCAAGTATATGAAGACATTGAAGGATCATCTAATATATCAAATGTATGTTCAATTATTTTTCGACAACATTCTAAAAAAAACCAAACCATTAGTACAACACATATTTTAAAGTAATAATTGTTTTATAAACAAAAAATACTTACCAAACCATTTTGTGTTTTCCAAAATTTTTAAATCCTCTGATTCGCCCAGTTTTAATTCTAGATTTGACTTCATAATCTCTACATTTTCTAATTTTTTTTTTAATTCGTTTAATTCTGTTGACAGCATTTCAGTTTTTAAAACTAATTCCTACGAGTAAAAAATTATTTTAAACAACTTATAAGTTATCTTTTATTGATAGTAGAAGTTACATCATTCTGTCGAGTAGTAGAATCAACTGTGGCTTGTAAAGCAACTAATTCTTCTTCAATTTTTATTCTGTGTGGCGTCATGTTAAATTCTACAGTTCGCAGGTTAGACAGTTGTTTATCAACATCTGATTTCTAAAAAATATTCAAAACATTATTGTTTTATAATTTGACAAAAATATATTTGATCATATAAAATACTAATTAATGAATCTATACAGCTTTGATTAGTTTTCTTTTTCCAAAATAATATACACAAATATTATAAACTTATATCATTAAATTAGAACATTTATAGTTTTATCAATTTACAATTTTTATAGGTTAATCTGAAAATATAAATATACATTTTCTTTCATTTTAATAATTATTTTGCAAATAAAAAATTAATTTATTATATCGAATACTTCTAAAAAATGTACACTTTTGATAATTGTTATATTGTATTTATATGCAAATATTATTTAAGTTAAAAAAAGAGAAATTAAGTAAATGTTAAAAAAAAAA